AGGTTTGCTGGCTAGTTAAATTTGGTCTGTAGTTCGCTATTGTGGCTGCAACGATCCGGTCGATCCCCACTGATGGCAATATAGATTGGAGGATGCTAGTTAGTAGATTTGTTCTCGATTAGACGTGACCTTAACTGTTTGCTATGCCTACATCGGCTGAATAGTCGATCGTCTATGCTTTAACGCCTACAATATGTCTATATGATTCTGTTAAACGTGAATAGATCTGTGTACTTTAAAGGTTTGATTTGTTATCTTTATCATGGCTGCATCGATTCGGTCGAACCCCACTGTTAGAGATAGCAGGTTAGGTCTGATGAGTTTATAGGTTTGTTCGTGTTAAATAGTCGATTGTTCGTATGTTGTAGTCCTTTTCCACCCAAATCGGCTGTTTTAGCCGATTCTCCTGAGTCTTCACGTATAGCATGTCTTTCGAAAAGCCTGTCGAAGTATAGATGGTTTTACGGATTTTAAGGTTTTAGTTTGTTACTATCATCATAGCTGCTATCGATCCGGTCGAACCTCACTGTTGATGGTAACAGATTGGATTCAGAGCGTTTATAGGTCCATTAGTATTAGATAGTCGATTTGTTTGCATACTATATCCTTTCTCGATTAGATTCATCGGCTCAATGATTCATACTGGTAATATCCACCTAGCTGATGATTTCACTTATATCTACGGGCATTATATTTATCAACATAAAATCAATCGCAATCCATAAGCTTTACTGTCCGTAATAGCCGATTTCTGTGCGTATCGGTTATTTAGTCGATTTTGTCGTTTGACTGCTCCCGTAGAGACACACTTGGAACTGTCTAGGCAAAGACCGGCATGTTCCACCTTAAATTACTGATAAATTTTTTCTCCTTGTCAATTGCAGGTCAAATTGACTGGCACGCCTCGAGAGGAATTCGCAGGATCAGTTAACCATGCGTTAAAGTCAAGCGGATCTCCGGGCTCGTCCTAAGCAAATCCTTTCGGCTTGCCATGTGTCGACATATTTTTGTGCCGACACACAGACACACACATATATATATATATATGTTCTGGTCGAATTTGAATTGTAAATTTGAATTTTTTTACGAAAAAAAATACTTTAGGGGCGGTTTTAGACTGAACTGCCCCTACAAATAGGTATTATAGGGGTCACTCCTACAAATCGATTTGTAAGGACAATCTAAAAACCGTAACTACAAATATATAATTTATAGAGACGGTATAATAGAGGCGGCTAGCCGAACCGCCTCTACAAAATCTCATCAGCCGCCCCTAAAAACTATCCGTGTAGCAATGCGTGTCATATTGCTATATACTCATGTGCTCTTCCACGTGTCCGAACCTGTCACAAGAAGCCTAAAACTGCTATGGATACGTCGTTGTAACTTGCAATCGGAGAACAGAACCTGTTTGGTACGGCTCTGAGATGCTTCGGCTCCTACACTGTTCATGCACTGTAGCGTGTCATAACAGGAGCCGGAGGAGCCAGAAATTCAAGTTTCACGGATTCCGTAAACAGTACCCCCGCTACAGTGAGAGGGAAATGGTGGGAAAAGAAAAACAGCTTCCGATGCTACAGTGTTTGTCGTAGGGGTGTCAGCCGGAGCCGGAGCTGCCGGGTGCCCGGCCAAACAAGTCCAACTTGCAATCTGAGATGAACTCATCATACCTAGCTTCCTAGGCGTTCATCGCAGAGGAGGCATTGTGAACAGTATGGCTCGATACTAGGTAGCTCCGAAGCTGCAACAGTGGTGCAATCTTGCTCTTGCAGTGCCAGGATCGGCTCTAGTCGACAGTAGTCTAGTCTAGTATAGATATGCCAAGGCAAATGACGAAGATCAGCAGTCGGTTCTCTTGTGCATTGCACTAGCTAACATTTAATTTGTCAAAGTGACGTGGACTCTGGAGCGCAGACTACGGTTCCGTGGGAAATTGAAGGAAGAGCTTCTGTGCAGCTAGCTGTGTTTGATATCTGATGGGTGTCACTTGACACATATTTCAACGGTGAAGCTGTGTCATATTGCTATATACTCACGTGCTCTTCCACGTGCTGTGGGTCCGAACCTGTCACAAGAAGCCTAAAACTGCTAGATATATGTCGCTGTAACTTGCAAGCAGTTTTTGTTACTGTTTTGATGCTGTGTAAAAATGTCTTACAATATTTGAACGCCACTAGATACTGATTTAATAATATAATAAATCTAAGCACCGGACGTTCTACTTGGTGCGTTGGCAGCCGAATGCTTGTCATTTTCTGTCTCGTACGATCCTGGGTGGCCGCTGCAGCTCATTTCTCGCGCAACGAGGCTTTCGTCAGGTAGCACCGGTAAAGCGGCACGATGCAGCAGCGACCATGTGCAGCAAATGCGTTCCAACCCTGTCCATGGAATCACAAGTAGGCCGGCCTGCAGCTCGGACAGAAAAATCTGCTCCAGGGGAGCAGTAGCGCGGGCAATCTACACCTCGTGTTCTTGTACGTGGATAGTGATCGGGGGATCCAATTCGAATCGACGAATGCCCCCAACACTGAAAACTAGTCTACTCCTACAGCTTACGGTTTACCCTCTACTGCAATTCGCTGTCATCCGAAAGCAAGCAGAAGCAGCAAACGTTGTCACCACTTTCAGATACTCCTACAGCCTACATACAGCAATTTGCCCGGCCATTTCCTAGGACTGTGCGCTTGATGAATCAGATGGCAACCGCGCATTGTCATCTGGCACGACACGAGCGCGCGCGGGAGCCAAGCGACAGATCTCGTGCGGTGCGGCCGACCCCGTCGACAGGAATGACTGACGATGCAGGAGCTCGACAAGGAAGCAAACGGCTTTCATTTTTCACATAGGATTCAGAGCTGATGATAGGGGCACCACACCACACAACTAGCCCGTGTTCTGTGCTGTGCACCTCACAGAGCGAAATGATGCCAGAACGACTTCGGTTCCCATGACTGGACAGCACCCCGTGGTACGTGCGGACATGACACCTCCTGCGCCGGTACGGTTGCTTCGAGCTCCTAGCCGTTCCAAGAACAGGGGCTGCAACGGGAACCGGAAGCTAACGACACCCACAGCGTTTTCGCGCTCGGGGCCGCCGGCCGCGTGACCTGGGGCCCTGGCCCCTGGCGCGCTGGGCGGGTCCGCAGACAGCGACGCCTCGCCTCGCTGCTTCTGGTGCTGCTGCTGCTCCGGCGTCGACCAGGACACCGTCTGGTGAGCCGTGATGAATGAAGGTGAGGGGACGCTGTCCGCTGTGCCGCTGGGGGCGGCGACGTCTCCAGCAGTTGACCGCGGAACAGTGGAGGTGGGGCGGCCTGGCCGGTTGGAGGCATGCGTGCGTCCGGACCTAGTACGTGGTACCTGGTACGCCGCCAACTGCAACTGCTGCCGAGAGCGCCAGAGCGGACAAGGGTGGGTGTCGCCGTCACGCAGTACGGAGCGGAGCTATAGCCGGGCCGAGGTCCTGGCTCCCGAGGGGTTGGTCCAATTCCTGTCCGGGGTTTTTTGCTGAGGCATCGATTGCTCCCGGGCCGGCGTGTTTCTCGAGTGTAATGTTGTAGATAATTTGATTCCAGGGGACATCTCTCATGTTCAATACGCAAATGATATTGTGATTATGATAGATGCTTCAGTCTTAAACCTGAAATTAATCTTACACTGCTTTGAGTGGCTTTCTGGTATAAAGATTATAATTTTCACAAAAGTGAGGGGTTTGTTTTTTTGGATGGCTCAAGAGGAGAAAGAAAGGACAGCTAAAAATATGCTACTCCCTCCGTACTAAAAAATGAAGTCGTTTTGGACAAGCCTCGGGTCAAACATTGGGAATATAAATCATGAATAGATTTGTCTTGAAAAATACTTTCACAAAAATTTACATATATCACTTTTTAATAAATATCTTTATAAAAATAAGTAGTCAAAGTTATGCTTTGGAGACCGTGTCGCTGTCCAAAATGACTTTATTTTTTTAGTACGGAGGGAGTAAATTGTAATTTGGAATCTTCCTCTCAAACACCTAGGCATTCAAGTGAGTGACAATAACATGTTTACCGGTTATTTTGCAAACATTTTTACCAGGATGGGGAAAAGGTTGGATCCATGAAAAGGAAAGCACATCACCTCACAGGGAGGCTAATTTTAACTAACATTTGTCTTAGTAGTATACCGATGTATTGTATGGGCTTCTATCTATTAAATGATGGAGCCCATCAAGAGATGGAGGACGATTTCAAATATCACATGGCCAAATGGGAAATGGTTACTACATCCAAAGACCAAGGTGGTTTGGGGATTATCAATTCCGAAATTATGAATGAATGCCTCTTGGTTAAATGGATATGGAAGGCCATGAGAGGGTCGGAGGATACTTGGTTTATAGCAGTAAATAAGCTGACATGACATAGAATAGATGAAGAGACAAATAATAAAAGTTTTTTATGGGATGAAATGAGTTTTATGGGGATAAAAACTTATCTACACTGTTTCCGATATATGGAATCTTAGAAATTGGGACATGAAATCCCCACTAAAACTGACCTTATAGCTTTCTTAAAAGCTTTATAAAAAATCTTTCTTAAAAGCTGAGATTTCTTATCTCCTTCAAAAACAAAAATAGACAGCGTCGATGAATAAAGGGAAGGCAAAAAGAAAGGAAAAAAACACGCACAATCGCACCACAGCTAAACCAAACTAGGTCTATTGGGCCGAAACAAAAATTGGCGCCCTCCGCCCCCCCTCCACACACACACACACACACACACACACACACACCTGTCTCGTCTCCTCTCGGCTCTCAAAAGTCACAAGCAAACATAGGTGGCGGCGCCGGCGTGCTCCTAGCGCTGGCATGAGTGCGTGGCCAAATCGGGGGACCGGGGTGGCGCGGACGAATCGAGCCGGCAGGCGGCGCCGTGCTTGTGTTAGGCAGGGCAGCAGAGGCGTGCGCGGTGCTCATGCCTGATGGGGCATCAGAGGCAGGAGCGGGTGATTTAGGGGCTTAAATGTTGGCCCTAGGCGTGAGAACTCACCAACTCCGACACTGGTGCCTCGCACACCTCCGCGGCAAGAACGCTGGGGCCTTGGCACCGGAACAGGCCCCGAAGTCACAATCCACGCTCGCCTCCTCCGTTCCATCGGAGAGCCACGCTAACCTCAATGACGCTACCGGCGCCTGCCAAGTGTTCGACGAAATTCCCCACAGGGACACCCCGGACCGTGCCCTTCCCGAGCACGCGCGGAGGGGTTTGGTCCACCAGGTGCTAGACCGCTTCTTCGATGTGCACCGCCGCCATGGTGGGCGTGTTGGCGGTGGGGCACTGTTGGGCGTCCTCAAAGTCTGTGGGTCAGTGCCAGACAGAGTACTGGGGAAGCAGCTGCATGGCCTGTGCGTCAGGTGCGGGCATGATCGTGGCGACGTCAGTGTGGGCACGTCTCTTGTTGACATGTACATGAAGTGGCACAGTGTTGTGGACGGCAGGAAGGTGTTTGAGGGAATGCCCGAGAGGAATGTTGTCACCTGGACATCGTTGCTCACTGGGTACATCCAGGCTGGAGCGTTATTGGATGTTATGGAGCTCTTCTTCAGGATGCGTGCTGAGGGGGTCTGGCCCAATCCTTTCACATTTGCGAGTGTTCTCTCAATGGTGGCGAGCCAGGGTATGGTTGATCTCGGGCGGCGCGTGCATGCTCAATCAGTTAAGTTTGGTTGCTGTTCCACTGTGTTTGTGTGTAATTCTCTGATGAACATGTATGCAAAGTGTGGACTGGTTGAAGAAGCCAGGGTCGTGTTTTGTGGGATGGAGACCAGGGACATGGTGTCGTGGAACACATTGATGGCGGGCCTTGTGTTGAACGGTCGTGATCTTGAAGCCCTGCAGCTGTTCCATGATTCACGATCCAGTATTACCATGCTTACACAGTCGACATACTCAACAGTGATCAAATTATGTGCAAATCTCAAACACCTTGGCCTGGCATGTCAACTCCACAGCAGTGTTCTTAAACGTGGGTTTCATTCGTATGGCAATGTAATGACAGCCCTCATGGATGCCTACAGCAAAGCAGGTCAACTGGATAATGCTCTGGATATATTTTTGTCGATGTCAGGATCTCAGAATGTTGTTTCATGGACTGCTATGATTAATGGGTGCATTCAGAACGGTGATATAACTCTTGCTGCTGCCCTTTTTAGCAGAATGAGAGAAGATGGTGTTGCTCCGAATGATTTCACCTACTCGACAATTCTTACAGCGTCAGTGGCCAGCTTGCCTCCCCAAATTCATGCCCAGGTGATCAAGACAAACTATGAGTATACACCAATTGTTGGAACTGCACTTCTGGCCTCTTACTCTAAGCTTTGCAGCACTGAAGAAGCTCTTTCTATATTCAAAATGATTGACCAGAAGGATGTTGTTTCATGGTCTGCAATGTTGACTTGCTATGCCCAAGCTGGTGATTGCGATGGTGCCACAAATGTATTCATCAAGATGACAATGCATGGCTTGAAGCCAAATGAGTTTACAATCTCTAGTGTCATTGATGCTTGTGCTAGTCCGACAGCTGGAGTTGACCTGGGTAGGCAGTTCCATGCTATTTCTATCAAGCACAGATGCCATGATGCACTCTGTGTGAGCAGTGCACTTGTTAGTATGTATGCAAGAAAAGGGAGCATCGAGAGTGCTCAGTGTGTCTTTGAGAGGCAAACAGATAGAGATTTGGTGTCATGGAACTCAATGCTATCAGGGTACGCACAGCATGGTTACAGCCAAAAGGCCCTTGATGTATTTCGACAGATGGAAGCTGAGGGCATTGAGATGGATGGCGTCACATTCCTTTCTGTGATCATGGGATGTGCTCATGCTGGTCTTGTTGAAGAAGGTCAGCAATACTTTGATTCGATGGGCAGAGACTATGGGATCACTCCAACCATGGAGCATTATGCGTGCATGGTTGATCTCTATAGCCGTGCAGACAAGCTTGATGAAGCAATGAGCCTTATAGAAGGCATGCCATTCCCAGCAGGTCCAATGGTATGGCGCACATTGCTAGGAGCTTGTAAAGTTCACAAGAATGTTGAGCTTGGAAAGTTGGTTGCGGAGAAGCTGCTGTCACTTGAACCTCTTGACTCGGCTTTATACGTGCTTCTCTCCAACATTTATTCGGCTGCGGGGAAGTGGAAAGAGAAGGATGAAGTGAGGAAGCTCATGGACACTAAAAAGGTTAAGAAAGAAGCTGGATGCAGCTGGATTCAGATCAAGAATAAAGTTCATTCCTTTATAGCTTCAGACAAGTCGCATCCTTTATCAGAACAGATATATGCAAAGCTAAGGGTAATGACAGCTAAGTTAAAGCAAGAAGGTTATTGTCCTGATACAAGCTTTGCGCTTCATGAAGTGGCAGAAGAGCAGAAAGAAGCTATGCTGGCAATGCACAGTGAGCGCCTAGCCCTCGCATTTGGTTTGATAGCTACACCACCAGGGGTACCCCTTCACATTTTTAAGAACCTGCGGGTGTGTGGGGACTGCCACACGGTGATCAAAATGGTCTCTGAAATTGAGGATAGGGAGATTGTAATGCGAGATTGCAGCAGGTTCCACCACTTCAATTCAGGGGTCTGCTCTTGTGGCGATTTCTGGTGAATGGATCTGAACAAAATGGTTGTACATTCAATACTCAGCCAATGTCCCCCTTGAACAATATCACTGGTAAGTTAACTTCTAAGAATGTGCCTTTCGTCTCTCAGGTTGGATGTTACTCCTAGCAGAAAAGGAGTTAGCGCTTATTCCAGGTAATCTTCAGATATCTTATATTCCAACACGAAACATTGCACTAATCATTCAGCATCAGGGGATAGTCAAGCAGTAGCAGCGTTAGTACCTGCCAACAGCGCCTATGAGATACGGATGCATGCCGATGCAGGGGCGTACCAATTGTGAGGGCGCTACACCATGGAATCTACAAGCGTGGGCAATGTCGGCCATCTCTCTCTCCCTGTTTGCTAGCGTTGGCATGTGTACCTGTTTGACTGAATGGCAGCGTGGTAGCGGGTGTGTGTCTCTGTCTGCGCATGGTGGCCTGAGCCGAGCTGAGCACTGTACACTTCTGAGTTCAGACCTTCATGTACCCAGCCATGCACTGACAGTATCTTGAAAGACATTGGTGTGGTTAGTTTCAGTCATTGCTGCATCCCAAGGCAAAAGTGGCCATCGTTGTTTGTCAAGTCTGAAGCTTTGAACACTATGTATCAAGCATTCTCGAAGGAGCTTTCGACCTCTCCTTATATCTTCCCAAATATGTTGCTGTTTCACTAGTACTTAGACAAACTAGCTGTGATGGGTTTGGAAGCCCATAGTCCGTGAGCTCCTTTTATATCCTATATATTTTTCAATTTAATGTGAAATATTTGCTGAAATGCTGTATAAAAATAAATTCTATGCACATCCAGGTTGTCTTTTTGCTAGGCATAATGACAGTTTCATCTACATGAATCGAGTAATACTATACTCCACAGAGCCCCACTTATCATATTTGATTTGGGGAGGTGACTTAACGTTTGTACATTGCCCCCTAGCAGATGTGAACATCATCATTACTTGTCCTTTCTTGGCTGCCCGAACTAGAACCACACTCCTTTGAATTATCCTCACTTTGAAGTTTCTGATATTTGGCTGTTGTTTCTGTACTTGCAGCTTTTTTGACATCTGAAGAACTTTCACTTCATAGAGTACATTCAAAGCAATAAACTCTGTTAGGTTTCCTCAAAATAATTTAGGAAGTTTAAACTATCTTTAATGAGTAGATGATCAAACCAATGGCCACAACTCCAAATGCTACATAATACAATTAGTTTATCTGTGGGTTGGCCAAACTATGTAAGTGTTATGACGGGCCTCCAGTACAACCGGCGACAGCCAGCCAGTGGCTAAGAAGGCACCGCATGGGCTGGCCTAGGACCCGGATCAGTTTCTATTTTTTAGAGATCAGTTTCTATTTTTAGGAGAGAAGAGATTATATATATATAAGCTGTAAGACACTTTGGGGAATTAAGCAAGAGCAAACCTAATTGCTCGGCTTCCTTTAGGGAGCCGGGAGATCCCAGAAAACCGCATAGCAGCCACAACTCTTTCCCCTCGCGCGTCCCTGTCTCTCTCGCACGAGGAACCACGGCGCCTCGCCGCCGTGCGTCGTCGTTCAAACCTCGCCCCTCCACCTCCCACTCGTACAACTTGCGATCGATCCAGGGTAGGAGTCGAGCTCCTATCAACCTGGTATCAGCAGTCTTAGGTTCGATGTCGACTTCCCATCCCTCGCCAGCGGTCTTCGCGTCCTCGCCCACCACCGCTGCAACCACCGCGCCCCTGCCCTCGTCGTCCTCGGCCCTTGTCACGGCGTCGGGCCTTATCGCGCCCTCTGCCGCGGCTCCGGCGTCCGTCATGTCTGCCGAACAGATGACGGCGGCCATACTGGACCTGGGGCGGGCTGTGGCGGGCATTCATGCCTTCCTCGCTGGTCCGCACGGCCCGCAGCCGCCGCCCCAGCCCCTGTTTCCGCAGCAACCGGCGCTCCCGCTGCCCTACAGCCAGCAGGTCCTGCCGGCGCCGCCGCTGCCGTCCGTCCAGCACGCGTCGTTGGCGCCACCCCTACCGGCGCCGCCGTCTGCGGCTGGGTACATCTACGGCATGCCCCACGACGGCGCGACCTCTTCCGCAGCACTGATCGCACCGCCGCCTCCGCCCCGCGGCGTGCCGATCACCCAGATTCAGTTTCCCCGATCGCCATCGCGCATTCCGGGCTGGACTTCGGAGCCGGCACCCGTCTACACCACGGCTAGTGCACAGCCCTATGTGCCGCCGCTGCCTTCGTCGGGGCCAGTGGTTGCCCACGGGGGGGTGCCCACGTCGGGCGTCCTGTACGGGGGCGTAGACGGACCCCTGTTCCATGGGGGCTCGCTGCAGCCTTCTTCGTCGTCGTCCCCGGCACGCGACGACACTGCCGGGGGCGCTGTTTCGGTCATCGGCCCGGAGCCTCCACCGCCGAAGTTTTACAAGCTCGAGTTCCAGACATACGACGGCTCTGCCGACCCCCTGAACTGGCTCAACCACTGCGAGCAGTTCTTCCGGGGCCAGCGGACGTTGGCGTCCGATCGGACGTGGCTTGCCTCCTACCACCTCCGGGGCGAGGCGCAGACCTGGTACTACGCCCTGGAGCAGGATGAGGGCATGCCGCCGTGGAGCGCTTCCGCGACCTCTGCCGTCTGCGTTTCGGTCCACCGCTGCAAGGTAGTCGCCTGGTTATTATTGGGTAATACGTTAATAATCTCACACAAGTATTCTGGGTCAGGAATTTTCACTTGTTGATGATAGAATAAAACTTGAATGGCACCTGTCCACATGTCAGATGTCAGGAGCGAAAGGTTGAATAATGTTGATCCACTACTCTGCCAAAAAAAAATGGCTGTCAAAATCAAGGCTAAAGTATTACTCCATCGTTTTCAAAATGTAAGGTGCGGTTTTTTCCTGCCAACACCACACTTTGATCTTTAATATCTCATATATTATGATGTTTATCATGACCATGAAATTGACATCATATGAAAGTGCTTTCAAATATGAATCCAATGGTACAAAATTTGTAATCCACATTTTTAGAGCAAATTTTGGTCAAAGACTAAAAGGTTTGAAACTTGAGTTGTGTGCACACCTTCTGGCTGATACAACAAATTGAGTTGTGTACAAAATCAAAGAAGAGAGTATTGAAATGTAACATAACAAAAGGAGGGCCTTCTTCTGGCTGATACTACAAATTGAAGCAATACTGTGAACTCAAATGGAAAACCATTTGGCATTTCTAACATGTTGAAGATACTTCACCTTAAGAACTAGGGAGTAATTGTGTAGAAAATAAAAAATGCCAATGCATATCCTCCGAAGAGGCTTATCTGGAAATAAAGAACAAACAAAAGGGTGTGAGTTTCCAGTGAATCAATTCAGCCAGCAGGTGTATGGCAAATAAATGAGTTTCATGGTAAAGCATGTACTCCCTCTGTCCACAAAAAGATGCACTATGGAATTTATGCCAGTCAAACTAGCTTAACTTTGACCAAGTTATAGTGAATGGTATTAACATTTATGTCTCCAACTAGGTTTTAATACGAAAATATATTTCATAATTAATTTAATGATATTTATTTTGTATCATAAATGTTAGTACTATTTTTATAGGGTCAAATTTTAAATCGTTTAACTCCTCGAAAAATGGGAATTGCATCCCTTTGTGGACGGAGGGAGTATTTCTTACCATTGTTGGAGAGCAGGTTAAAGGTGACATGATCTTTTCCCTCCAGAACAACAGAACTTACCGTTTTTTGTTCTAGAAACACTGTGGTGACAATTTAATTAAGATGTTCAAGAAAAATAAAATTAACTATGTACTAGCAAGATCAAATTACAGGTGGCTTTGCCAATGGATCATGCCAGTTCGCTCCACTGGCTGTAACAAGTATTGAATGATGGAGGGGATACATCTGAACTGTATTGACTATTTGACTAACAACCCAAATAATCCAAGCATGGCAACAACATCAACTTGATATTTCTTTTTGACACAGTATTCCTACACGTACAAGGAAAATGAAATACTTATTAGAAATATGATATTGCTATAGCAGCAGAGACATAACATAACCCGAACTAACCTCTCCAACATTGCTAAATGCATAGCAAACTGTCCTGGAAATAACAAGGGCATCCCCCAGTTTGCTTGCATCTGTTTATCTATTTTTTTTATAAGATGTTAAAATCCATGAAACCATTTTGTGGAAACTGGGAAGTAGATTTCAATGCTATGATGTCCATGAACTCATGTTTGCATTCAATATCTGTTGTATTGCCATCTACAACTAAAATTGGTATCCTGTATTGTTCATCTGGCATGGTTCAATTTAAGGGATACACTATTCCTACTGCCATGAATTTGTGTGTGATTGAAATCCTAATTTTGTAACTCAAATGATTCCAGTAAAGGGGGTTTGTTCTTGATACTTGGTATTTTACTTCCAATGTAACTTGCCTTGCTCATCTGGAGATTTCACATCTGAAAGGAGCACAAGGGCAAGCCCCACCACACATGTCCCTGTGCCCACAAACTGCCTGAAAGAATATCCTGTGCCTAGTGCGTACCAGGTAAGTATGATGACCCATACAACAGTCCAGCAATCAAATAAAGTTACACTAGTGATGTATGAGTACTGGTATGCCTTCACAACTACAGTGTGCAATTTTGATACTTATTAGCAGTAGCAATGTAGCATGATGAACCTGACTGAGTTACATTATACCACTGGAAATTGTTGGTAGTATGGGTTCAGTGCAAGTTATGGTCGTTTGGTGCTTGTACAGTTGTACTCACCAAAATAGTTCCCCTGGACATCAATGAAGGCCAAGGCCAGATACCAATACCAAGCTATCTGCAAGACAAGAATACTCGAAATAGTGAGAGTTTGAGAGCTATGAATCTCAAAAGGCTTCCATGGTTGATTCTTATGAGCTATTTTTGGAGCTTCTGCTGTCGACGCAAGACGATCGGCACATAGACTGAGATCAGCAACAGGTATGCGAAGCAAGACTGCGTGAGTGGTGCATCAATTCCTGCATAAATATGTTTGTGGGAATGAACTGGTGTTCTCTCTACTGAGATAATTTTTATCAAGAATTTCATCAACCACGACTGATAATTCTGTATGTGTGGATCAGTTTGACGTGAAACTAGTACCAAGATTTGCTACGAGGGAGGATGTGAAGCTTGAGGAAAGCCAGGGAAAATGCGACGGGATGGCCGAGGAGGAGCACGCTCAACAAGCCCCATACATCCTCTTGGTATCCATTACTATTGTTTTCTTTGATCTGATGTCTCGTTTTTGCTCTGTTTGATTGTCAATGTTCACTTGCTGTTTAAGTTCTGTTTGATTGACAATGTTTGCTTACTGTTTAAGTTTTTGTTCTGTTTGATACTTCAGTTATCAATGTCTGTTGTGAACTTGTGGTACATGTTTTTTACTCTGTTTGACATTATTTTTCTCGACACAGGGGTGACCTGCGTATCATTTCTGTTTGACATTACAGTTGTCAATTTCTGCTTCGGTGATATAAATTCCACTCATGCGACCTTGCTTCTCGACGACTTTCAAGTTTCAATCACCATAAGTTTGAGATTTTCCAGTCTATCTTTTGAACAGGGTGACTGGCCAAATAATATCCAGGTCATTCAGATGAGTTCAACCAAATTTTTATTTTCCACTTACCCCTTTTAGCTTCCAATTCACAGGGCATGAAACTTCTCATAGAATTTTACAATGAGCAATGTAGAAAATATTTTCATAGGCAATTCTCTTTACATGTTTCCCACACTGTTGCTATTATGCTTTGCAGACCAGCTGTGATGGTTTGCAATCCCTAGTTGAAGATCCTTTTGATCCGATGTATTTTTTATACATTTGTGAATGATCTGCTGGACTGAGGTGTAGAGAAAATTAACTCTGATTCTCTTCCTCATCTTGCTTTCCTGCTTGAGAAAATTAAACATTTTCCTATACATGAAGTGACCAACACTTTACTCTGCATATCTCTATGCCATATTTGATTTGGTACAAATCTATCCATTAACAAGGAGGTGTCTTCATACATTACCCCGCTAACAGATATGAACTTCTTCCTTATGTGTCCTTTCTTGGCTACCTGAATTAGAACCAATTCTTGTTGAATTGTCTTCAATTGGTAGTTGCTGATATTGGGCTGGTGTTTCTGAACTTCCAGCTGTTTCATCATCTGAAGAACTATCACTTCATATATCACAAGAAACAAATTTTGTTAGGTTTCTGCAGCCATTGAGTCACATATCTGCAAATTATCGGTATATACAAACTTACTTCAACGAATAGATGATTAATCCAATGGCTACAACTGTGAATGCTAGGTAGTACAACCAGTTTATCTGTGGATTGCATGTGAAATATGTGAGCATATTGGGTAATATGTTACCATTTGGGACGAGTATTCTGGGTTCAGAGAAATCACCTGTTGCTGATAGAATAAAACTCGAATGGCGACTGCCCACATGTCAGATGTTAGCAGTGAAAGGTTGAACAATGTAGATCCACTCATCTGCAAAAAAGAGCATAAGAATAAAAAGGCTAAATTATTGTTCAACTGATTGAAAATACAATAAGAGGACCTTTCTTCTTTCTGATATTGTGTAGTCAGCCACTATTATTTAAACAGTTTTCCTTTATTCTTTGGTTATTTTATTAATAGACCATAACCATTTGACAGGAGTTTCTACTTGTGGAGCTCATGCCATCCCTGACATGTTGGAGATCTTAACCTTAAGAACGAAAGGAGTAATTGTGTAGAATATGAAAATTGCCACTGCAAATCCTGCAAACAGACTTATCTGGAACAAATGAAAAAGACAAAAGTAGGAATGAGTTTCCAGATAATAAAATCAGTAAGGTTTATGGGGAGTTTCATGGTAGAATGTACTTTTCTTACCATTGTTGGAGACCATGTAACTGCTTCTAGGCCCTTCCTTTCAAATATAAGTCTAAGGTTCATCAAGTTAAAAGGTAACAAGAACCTGGGTCATATTTATAGTTACAACTTTTGTTCGAGGAAATTATGCTGATAGTTTAACTTCGCAAAAGAGAGAAAAATATTTAGATGTCATTTGACAGATCATGCCAATTTGTTTTAACTAATCCTTTACCATTAATATAGGTTATGCAGTTACCATTTTTTGCTCCAGTTTGCTATACAGGTATATAGCTAAATAATTAATTTTTGAGGATACATCTGCACTATGCTGATCAGCAACCCAAAGAGTCCAAGCATTGCAACAACTTCAACTCTATCCTTTTTCTTGACACAGTATTCCTACACATGAGGAAAATGAAATGCTTATTGCCACTGTGAGAAACTGTTGCTGATAGCAGCAGATGCATGTAATGCATATATAACTAACCTCCCCAACATTGCTAAACGCAAAACCAACTGTCCCAGCAATAACAAGGACATCCCCCAGAAGTGGCATTTTTCCCGGATCTGCAGGAAAATAAGATTTTACATATGATGTTAACTGCAACTACAGAAACTAGAAAGTATATTTCAATCATAATGTTCTTAAAGTCATGTTTACATTTACACCTATTGCATTGCAATCTTATGCACCACTAGTATTGGTATTCTTGATTGTTCTTCTATCATTTCTTTTAAGGGAGATGGTATGGACAGGTCCTACTACTACCATGAGTTCCTAGTTCTCAAAATGACTTGTTCTTGAGTCTTTGTTGTTGACTTTCTAATTGAACTGTAGGATGCTTGGAGTAACTTACCTTGCTCCTCTGGAGATTCTGCATCTGAAAGCAGCACAAGGGCAAGCCCTGCCACACATGTCCCTGCCCCCACGAACTGCCAGAGTGAGTATCTTGTGCCCAGTGCGTACCAGGTGAGCACGATGACCCATACAACAGTCCAACAATCCAACAAAGTTACACTGGTAATGTATGAGTACTGGTATGCCTTCACAACTGGGACATTAGATGTTGATCAGCAGTAGCAAGAGGGACCTAACAAAATTTCATTGAGTTGTAACTGTGTAGCGAGTGCCTATACTACTCACCAAGATAGTTCCCCTGTACATCAAAGAAGGCCAGAGCTAGATACCAGTACCATGCTATCTGCAAGACAACTCAAGACAGTGAGCTATGAATTGCAACAGTTTCCTGGGTTAACTGATGCAGCTACTCTTACTTGCAGCTTCTGCCGTCGACGCAGGACGATTGGTACATAGACTAAGGTCAGCAACAGGTAAGCGAAGAAAGACTGTGTCAGTGGTGCATCAACTCCTGCACAAATATATTAATTCAAGGTAAGTAGTAACTCAAATTACCACTATCCAGATAACAACCATCAAGTAAATCTATCATAAACACTAACAAATCTGTGTATACTGGTCACTGGTCAGTCCAATGAGAAATTGACTACCAAGATTAGCAATGACGGAGGAGGTGAAGCTTGAGGCGGCCATGGCGAAGGCGACGAGCTGCCCGAGGAGCAGCACGAGCAGCAGGCTCCATACATCCCTCTTAATCTCCATCAGCGCGAGCACAGCTCGCCGCAGCCCGGATCAGATCAGTTGCAGTTTTGCAGAGGAGAGAAGTTATTATACGCTGGCGAACAAAGAGGAAGAAGATGGAGCAGATGAATGGAAGGTGGAGTCTCGAGTGCAGGACCTGCAGGTGGACCGCGTGCAATAAACTAACTACCCTCGCGAGTAGGTAAGGAGGAGCACCATGTGCCGTCTCCGTCGACGAATAATTTCTGCAACTGCAAGCGACGTGGGACCTGTGGCCACCTGGGGATCTTGTCATCAGCTGAGCAAGTAGCTTGTCCTACCGTAGTTCAATACAGATCTCGTGCTCAGGCTCTTCGCTTGCTCGTAAACCAGCGGGGAACAATGTTTTCTCTCACACCAAACCAGCCAGCAGTAAATAATCCACGATACGATATGGCCTCCCGAACAGGCTGTTCGGTGGCCATGTAGCGCTTCGTAATCATACAGCTGATGGTTGCTACAGTTTTTGAAATGGAAATGCTGAATGAATTTCAGGGCTGGCTGAGAAAGGAGAGGATCTGATGCAGATACAGACATACAGTTACTGGCCTCATGGCCTGCTGGGAACAAGCAAGCAGGTCCAACCAGACTTGAAGAACACGTATGGCAAATCTGCGGGTAACCAAATTTGGAGCCACACTTCATATGAGCGCTCAATGTCTTTTCCTTGCCTTACTGTGGTCCAACGTAAAGTTTGGAGAGTTTTATGCTTTGGTTCTCAAATATTATTTGGACACTGTGTTCGGAGAGTTTACTTCACCAACTAAATAAATGCTTCTAAATTGTAGTATTCAAAGCATGGAAATAGTTGATAGTTCCAATCATGAAATTTGCAACACTAGATTCTCTATTGTTTTACGGCCGAGAGGATTTCTTCAGCATCTCATATAGTGGCGCACTCATCTTTTCTAACTAGGCAGTACCCGGCGCGTTGCCGCGGGTGTACCAAAGGCAAACAATCGGTGTAGAAAATGCATCCGTGGATCCATGTATTTATTATGCATATTTGTTGTTTGTGACATTGTAAAAGCATTTATGAAAATTTGAGGGTACGTACCTGTTATGAGTACATAGAGAATAAAGGGCTGAACTCAAATATTGTATAAAAAAAATTGATAGCACTATGACATTTTAATCTTGTGGAGAAAGGGTGAAACTATCAAGTGACAGATTTGTACACTTTGGTATGGAAAACCAAGCAAAATATTCCTTTACTATAAGTACTTTGGAAAATATGTTTCAATCAGAGAGACCATTTAGGCATGACGTATAAAGCAGCATATCATGGGCTGGTGTCAGGTGATGAGCACGAAAGAATTATGGAAGGACATTGGTACTTTAGGCAAATGAACTGATGGTTGGCATCAGCGGCTGTTGCACTTAAGCCTCGTTGGATATGGTGAACCTATTCCAAGTCACTGCTCCATTTGGAAACAAATAGCCTGGAAGAACAATATGATAGCATAAGCACCTCGTTACCACCAGATTAGTTATGAATGCAAAGACAATACAAACTATGGATCTCACCAATAAATTGATGCAGTTCGTGCTCCTGCATCGTACCTTCTATTTTCTTCTGTTCAGCTATTCTATTCTTGGAGTGAGAAGGAAAACAGAGTGAAGCAAAGTGTAGATCCTAGCAACCAACCTGACAGAAGACATAATGAGAGGAACCAAACTGTGAGGGATGTAAAACACATGCGAGAACGTGGCACGTAGCTCTACCGCGTTGTTCGATGAAAAAAACACATGCAAAAATCCATAATGGCAGAAGTACATCCTGGTATGTACAAATATGCATACATTAAATCTCAATTAAACCTATGTTTATTTATTTGTAACTTGCAAAAGTAGTATAATGGGCACTGAACATTTGTGTTGTTGTAGGTTTGGTGAGAAGGCAGTCTGTAAACATGTATCAGCAATGAGACAGAAAAATCATGAGCTCTCCGCGCTTCTGGTGTCAACCCTGCAAGCTGCCGCAGACATTGTGAACTCAAAGATGTGAAAGCTGTGTGGTTGGATTGCAGATGAGGTTGGTAATGATCTGGGATCCAAACTTGAAAAGAAAAATAAATATATAGAAGCGTGGGACCGTATCGAACCGTAGCTTGCTCAGAGAGGAAAGAGAACGTGGGCAAGACATGAGCGCGGGGTCGATGTAGTCGCAAGTGAAGACGAATCAGCGAAATCGGCGTCCACGGAGGCGGCGGCGGCGGCGACCAGCCATAGACGCCACGAAACACACACGCCAACGCTGGCAACGAAGCACATCAGCAGCAGCAGCAACACAGGGTGGCAGCGGAGGCACACCGGCAGTGTGCGGACGACGGTGTGGTGGGCGGAGGGAGGGCGCTCGAACCGGTGCTGACGCTCGTGGGTCCGACGATGGCGGAGCAGGCAGCGTGGGGATGGCTCCATGGGCGGCCGTGGAGGTAGCGGCCCTGGGGCGTGATGGCCGGCCGCGACTGTAGAGGCCCTGGAGCGGGTACGGCGTGGAGCGGAGGTAGCATGGAACGGCACCTGTGTGCGGTGCGGACGGGGGAGGGGAAAAGCACGGGGGCCTGGGCTGTACGCTGGAGAAGACCACAAGGTTCGAGGACTCATAGGAGGAGGCGAAGGGAGCAAACGGATTGGAAGCACGAGCAAGAGATGATGGCGCAAGGAGCTGGCGATTCTGGTATACAGAAATAAAGGGAATGGTAGATATACACAGGTTACGCACTTTTACCAATGTTACAAGTACGGCACGGCGGTACCCGGTCTGTTTGGAATAAAAGAACGTAAGATAGAGGAATCTCCTACAGTGAAAAGAACAAAGCACGTGTTTAGTTGCTACCCAAAATAAAAAAAGTGCTACAACACCCATCACATCGAATCTTGTGATACGTATATGGATCATTAAATGTAGACGAAAAAAAATTAATTACACAGTTTGGTTGAAAATTGCGAGACGAACGTTTTGAGCATAATTAGTCCATGATTTGAACACTATTTGTCAAATAAAAACGAACATGCTACAGTATCCCAAATTCCCAAATTTAGGGAACTAAACACGCTCAAAGCATGGATATTTTTTTTGTGCGACATTTGTTTTGGTTCGTCCGTCTGCCCATGACCGTGCGATACCTCGCTCGCTTCGTCGCTCTGCCTTCGTCCGTACGAAAAAAAATTCTACCTCATCGCTCGCGTAAGTCACGCCACCAATCGCTCTCTCCCCCTCGCGAGATCCCTCTCCACCGTGCGGTCGTGCCCCTTGCCGTGCGCATCGGCCACCGCCTCGACGCGAACGGACGACCTGGACCAGGCGCAGCGGACGACGTGGCTGAGGCGGAGAAGGTCGCCGGGGACCGCCGGTTTCTCAGGCGCTCACCGGGGCGCGGTGCAGCCAGGCCGGATCCGGTCGGCGCTCGATCGGAGACGGCGTAGCTGAGGCGGAGAAGGTCGGCCAGGAAGGGAAGAAGGCCGTCGGCGGCGGCGGCATTCCTTGCGGTGGTGCGGCGACCGGTCAGCACCTACTCGAAAGCTACCTTCGGCCATGGCTCAGAACGCTCTCCGTATCCGTTGCTGCAGCTGAACTCGACCTTGCGCTCCCCGCGTGGTGGGCAGGCCCGATGGCTCGACTAGCCCGCTATGTCCAAGCTGCGCCTCCGCTACGTTTGGCGGGGTTGCGGGTAGGCGCGGACGCAGAGGTGTCGCTGCTGGGAAGACGAATACATACAGATGCGGCTGCGGCTGCCGGTCGCGGATAAGGAGCCGTCGGAAGTCACGAGCGGCCGCGGCCGCCGCCGGTGATCACGGAGGAGCAGTCGAGGGTCGCGCGCGGCCGCGGCTGCCGCTGCCGGGACATGCGCGGAGGCGCCTGGGAGGGCAGGCAAGGGCGGTGCGGAGGTACGGCAATGGCCTGTGGCCACGACGATGGCACTTCCACGCCATGTGCGAGAACGGGAGGTGCAAGGCCGATACACAAATCGATCTGGTTCGTCATCTACGGTTCTTATGTCCCCAGATCGATTTGGTTCTTCATCTTGGGTTATTACAAATCAATTTGGTTCTTCATCTAGGGTTCAGCTATTATGGCTCCAACTTGATGCCCGACACCATTGAGGTGTTTGGAGTACAGGTCGAGGGGAGCATCATCGCGGCGCGTTTGCATACGATGGCGACGGCCTTTACCGGTCCTCGCATCGTCTTCAGACTTTATATTCGGATATGCCAGTTCGTTTTTCTGTAATGTATGCAAATGATATCCGTGTTTTGACGGTCAAGAAAACATAGTTGTGCAGATCAGTTGCAGATCGACTTTGCTAAATTCGGATCTCATAAATAAACTGTGTTAATTTTCAGAGTTGTTTACTTTGCTCATTCTGATGTCGCCTTTCATATTTCAGTGGTGCTTCACTCTTACTATCGTGTATTCATATATGCAGATATTCCTATACAATTATACACTGTTATGGGAAAACAGAGCTCTATAGGTCGGTTGCACTTCGGCTTGGCTAAATTTGGATCCAAATAAATAAATTATGGAATGCATGATATTTGTTAATTTTCATAGTTGTTTGCTTTGCTCATTGCGATGTGGTCTTTTATATTCCAGTGGTGCTTCACTTTTACCATCATGTATTCATACATACAGATATTGCTATACAGTTATACGCTGACAACCTCAAAGTACAGTATGCACAGGTTTGAGGCTCTTGCATATGGTGATTTCTCAAATGTAAGGTGCAATTGGTGGCTTCTTAACCACAATTATATCACTTGATATACTTCCCTCCTTTATTTCTTTTTTCTTTGTTCTCAAACTAATGTTGTGTTCGCCTTTCCCTCAGTATGACCCAGAGCTGTTCCGTTGCTTAATAAGCCTCATTTAAGTGACAAACTATATATGCAGGTGAGGTTCATATATAGCTTTTGTTCTCATTCATATCGTACAACATATATCAGTTCCTTGCAGTGACCAGGCAACATAGGACTAC